TATTCATGTTGTGCAGGTGTGGTAGTTTCTCTTCTTTCACAAGGCTGACTTTCAGTGAACGTGTCTCGATTGTCCTCCATGTTGGCTCCACGGCCCTCATGTTGGCTCGACTATTCTCCATGTTGCCTCCTTGAGGGCCAGCCTGTCTAACTGCTTACAAGATATCTAATTAACTTACCTATCTACAATACCAGCATCAACACTCAAGACTCATATGTGGAAGTTCTTGGGGGTTTCCTTGAGATTTGGACAGTATAAAGGGACACAGATGCCAAGAAGAGTTTGCTGTTGTGGCCGTCCTCACAATAGCTTGCCCTGCTCCCTGCAGGGTGTACTTTTATCTTGCTTTTTCCTCTTTTTTTTTTTTGGTACCAGGGATCGAACTCTCAACCTTGCACTTATGAGGCAGGCACAGTGCCACTTAGCTAAATTCCTGGCCCACTTTTTCCTCTTTTACTTGGCTAAGCTCACTCTGCAGAGCCAATTTCTCCCTCACTCTTCACTTTTACTCTTTTTTTTTTTTGATACAGGGTCTCACTCTGTAGTTCTGCCTGGTCTTGCCTTGAATTCCCAGTGATCCTCCTGTTTTAGCCTCCCAAGTGCTGAGATTATAGGTGTGTGGCACCACCCCCAGCAACTTTTACTTTTTCAAATAAACTTTGCCACTGCTTTTTCTCCTTTTGTTCAATTCTTTGTTCAAAAGGAGAAGAACTTGGAATCGGACTCCAGGAGGAAAGGCGAGCAACCCAGCACTTGGTAATGTTAGAGCCACTTTTAGAAGGATCTACCCGATAACAGTGCCATACCTTTGGCACGCATGTTATTGTGTTTTGCTTTTAAGACAAAAGATGTTAATCTGTGAGTTGTTTTTTCTAAACTAAAACCTTAGTATTCAGGTTTAATTGCAATATTGGCACTTTGCAATAAATAAGTGGGTTCTGGGTTGCAGTTTAGGCACTCGGTCTCAAATGTTTGCCATCACTGCTCTAGGGGGTCCCTAAAAGGACAAATGTTCCTAAGGGGACAACTTATTATAAACACTCCCACACATATAGACACACCTTCCCATTCTCTAGTGATGTTTCCTGGAATTATTTCACAAATGAACCAGTCTTGCTCTGATCCTTGTATCAGGGTCTTCTTCTGGTAACCCAAATTTGCCTCAAACACATTCTTCTAAAAGGAAAGCCTAAGTCAGTGGTAATATTTTTGTTTAGTCATGCTGCCACATTATACCATTGACTCATGTGGGTTTACAAAGATCTACAAGCTCTGAGGCATGGCTTCTCCTTCTAGAAGCTTCTGGTCTGATGAGGAAGCCAGTAATAATCCCTCCACAGTTTTCAAAGCATTTTTCTACCCTGATTTCATTTGCTTCTTGAAACCCTATGAGGTTTGCAGAGCCAGGATTTCTGTTTGGCAGATAAGGAACCAGAGGCTGAAAGTGGTGGGTGGTGCCATGACTTGGCCCAGTGCCCAGGTCTCAGAGCTGATGATATGCTCATCTGAGCACTCCCTCTATGGTGGCTGTATCATGACCACCCAAGTAGCCTCTTCTCACTAGGAAGAATTACGGAGTCCTACATTTCTTTGTGGGTTTCTGTGGTGTAAAGACACCCACATCTGTTACTTGTTTCCCTAATGTTTAGTGACTTTGGAAATAGAAGATTAGAAGCACGCACACACACACACACACAACAATACTCTGATGGCCCTTGGGTTACCACATCACCCCCCTTGGCCTGGGGTACACCAATGAGAGCAATGTTTCTATCATTTTGGAAGCTCATGAAGTCAGGACCATTCTTCCTGCCTTAGACTGTACTCTCCCCAAGAACAGGAATGTACATGAGGGTGGTACATGCAAAGAAATGAAAAATAGAAGCATGAGAGGGGAGTGTAGGGACACAGACAAGGGCATCTAATTAGATGCAGAGGAGATTCCCAGGAGGAAGAATGTTCCAGGCAGAGAAAGCAGCACAGCCAGAAGCCTGGAGGTGATGGTGAGGTTCTATCTTTTTTCAGTATTTTTTTCCTGACAATATAATTCCTAATGATTTTACTTCTCATAATCAGCATTTGTTCAACAAATTCTTACTAAACTTCATAGTAAACTTAGTGCCTTCAAGGAGCTTATGTTCAAGATGTGGAGTCAACAAATAAAATAGACAATTATTTTCCAGGAAGGTAAGTGCTATGTTATAGAGAGGTGCAAGGGGCAAGAACACCCAGAATTGGCCTCTTTTCAGTCAGGTCTCTACAGAAAGCACATGGCCATCTCATATCAGTAATCTGAGATGGCTCTATTCAGATACGGGCAGTGAGTGGGGGAACTCACAGGGAAGGTTAGTGAAACATCCTGGAGCTTGAAACACTTGGGCCTGATAAGAAAGAGAAAGAAGCATGTGCAGAGATCCAGAGTCAGGGAGACTAGAGTCAGGGAGATACAGCTGGTGGACGGATGGGAGGCTCAGTTGAGGTTGCAGCAGCAGGCACATCAACAGATTAAAAAATAAGTGTCAGGCATGACAGTGCACACCTGTAATCCCAGCACTCTGGAGGCTAAGGCATGAGGATTGCCCTGAGTTAGAGGCCAGCTTGAGCTACATAGTGAGCTCAAGGCCACCCTGGACTACATAATGAGACCCTGTCTCAAAAAAAAAAAAATTAAAGTAAGTGAAACATATCAGGACTGTCTACCATCTAGTTAGGCACTATTGAAAAACAAGATAGGAAAAAAAAAAGAAAAACAAGATAGGAAAGGGGGTTAGAGAAGATGGGAAAACGGGGATTAGAATTTGAGCATACAGTGGTCAAGGAAAACTTCCCCAAGAAGGTAATATTTAAGCAGATTCCATGAAAATATATCTCTAGGTATCTCCCCCTCATGCCTTTAGTCAGCCCAGCCTAACCTCAATCCCCACCCTTGCCTTCCTTTTCTGAAGGTCAGGGCCTATGTCTTTGGATTAGGGAGTTCTTTGAAGGTCCCTCTCATGGGCTTCCCAAGGACAGGAATTCTCTTTTCTTTTTCCCTTTCTTATCCAATAACAATAGAAGGTGCCATTTATCAAGCTCATGCCTGGTACTTGGCCCAGCTCTGGGCATGTAATATACCATATTTTATCTAAGTCTCATAGCAAGTCTACAATGCATAGTTATGGAAAATGAGGCATCTCAATCCACTTTCCAACAGCTGTTGACCAGTTGCCTTGCCTAACAAGGTTTCTGCCCATCCTCACTCCAGAGAAGGGCCAGTGGAAGATAGATCTGAAATCCAGAAGGACTGAAAAAGGAAAAACAGATTAGGAATATGCTTTATGTGTCTGAGGGGTACAAAGAGCAAAGGGTAGAAATCAAAGGAGGCAGTTTTTGTTAAAATGTGAGACCATCCTAAAAATCAGTGCTGCCAGGCTGCCTTAGAGGCAATGAGCTCTCTGTCACTAGAAGTGCACCACCAAAGCTGGAGAGCTTTGTGTGAAACATGAAATATATAGAATTCATTAGGCAAGGGATTTGACTATCAAATTGTAAGAGTTTATCAAATTGTAAGAGTTCTTCCAACTTAGATTCTGTCACTAAATGATTCTACAACTCGAAGATGGTCTACAATTATTAATCTAAAATTTTATTACAACAATAGATAATCTCTGTCTTTAAAGGATCTTTATTTTACTAGCTGAGATGGGCAAATACTCTCAATAACTGTAATAAATAGTCCTGTGGAGTAAATCAAGGGCCAGCAGTATCTGCGAGGGAACTCTAACTGGCCCAGAGCTATTTCTTCAAGGCTAGTCTCTCAAGTACCATTTGTATCTGAGTCCTCAGAAATCTTGTTCTTAAAAAATGCTGATTTCTGGGCTCCACTCCAGAAATCTAGAATCAGAACCCCTGGAGTGAAGCTCAAACATCTACTTAATTAAACAAGGTCCCTAAATGATTCTTTGGCAGACTGATAATTGAGACTGCATGCCTAGAGGGTCAGGATGACTTCTCTGAGTGGTAACTTCCAGACTGAGAAGGAGGGATAGCTAAATCAAAACATGTGACCACAGAAACAAGATGGAAGTAATGTGTTTTGATGGAGATGAACAATTTTGTACAAAATGCACACCCTTTAGTAGGTCTTTTTAAAATGATAGCTATTCTTAGATACTATATTCTGAGGTTCTGTGATTGAGGGTATATGCCTCAGATATCCTGTAGATTTTTGTTTGCAAGGGAATGAGAGGGGTGGCCTGTATTTATTAATTATTGTAAGGTCCTAGGCTGGTAAAGAGGGTAAAGGTTCCTTACAGAGACCCTGGGAGGCTGTTCCTGTCTGTATCCATTCCTCTGGCGCTGGCCTCCTGGTCCTCATTTCTCAGCTGTCCCTGGCTGCTTCTTTTCTCTGGAGCCTGCAGCCACAAGCAAGGAACCATCTGAGAGGCTGGTGAATGGAAAACGAAGAGTGTTCTGCGACAGATCTCAGTCAAGACCTGGCTGGATACAAGTTAGTTAGGTATGTGAGGGTCTGCAGGGGCAAGTGAGACACCTGCTGGGTTACGGAGAGAGGCGGGTAGTGGATTCTGAGTCTGAGCTCTGCCACTGACTTGCTTGGTAAGCATGGACAAGTCCCTTCCCCAATCTGGGCGTTTGCATTCTGTCTGCAAAAGAGGGTTTGTTTTAGGCATTTTCTCTGGTGATCCTCTAGTTTTAATATTTTGAAGGCAAAGAACTCATCTGAGCCCAACAATGAGCCCATCAAGAATGCATGCAAGAACGGTATTCGTTTTACAGCGAGGAAGCCAAGACCAAGGGAGGAGCAGCGACTTGCCCACCACCAGACAGCCACGTGGGAGCAATGCCTGTTTCCACTAGCACCCGGCGCTCAGCTTCGCCTTCTGAAGATCCGCTGAAGCTGGTCTAGCTCAGGCGAGCCTAAGAGAGTGGCATTTGGTCTAAGGTCCAGGAAGCAAGCGTTGCAGCAGGCGGTGCAGGGGACTGAAAGGTTGGAGCCGACAACCGGTTGGGGCCAAGGAGCGGGGCGGAGGCGCCAGAAGCCAGCCCAGAGAGAAGTGGGTGTGCTGAGACGGGCGGGGCCGGGGGAGGGGACGCCCCGGGCAGGGGAAAAGGGAGCCGACTCGGGTGGGGGCGCCAAGCTGCAAAGGGTGCAGGGCTGTGCTGGGCGCCGCGGAGTTCCAGAGACGGGCAGAGGGCAGAGAGGTGCAGTGCCCAAGCCACCCTCGAGCAGAGGGAGCAGCGTTCAGCGAGCAAACGGGAGCCCTCGGAGACGAGGTGCAGGTAAGGCTCACTCGCAGGGTTGGGAGAGCTGAGCTGCAGCGAGGAGTAAAAATGGAGAAAGGGTCTTCCTAACTCCCTCCTGAGGACCAAGGCGCTTTCTGGAGAGGCCAGACCCAATAGGGGTGCAGTTCAAATACTGTACTGAGCGGATCCTCCCCAGGGCGAAGAGGAGCGATCCCAGGGCAGCATAGGGGCGTTAGGAGCTGGGCTTCTTATAGGCTAAGCCTGAAACCACTGCGGGGAGGAAGGGGTTTGCATTGGTTCTCCTAGGGTCTCCAAGGGCGACCTAAAGCATCTCCGTGCCTATAAATATGAACGCAAACACCTGCTGGTCCGCGGCTAACGCACAAAGAACAGCCCGGGACCGGAGCAGTCTTCTTGCTTGGCCAGAGTTGCTGGCACTGTAGAGTTGACTTGTTCCATTGTGACTCTCACACTGTCCGACATAGATCCAGGGAAAGGATGGAAACTTCAGGCATCTTATGCTAACAGTAATACAGGTCTTGCCTGAAAGTAGGAGACTTGAGGTCTAGTTTGTAGGTTGTATAAACTTGTGCATATCATCTGCCCCCTCTGGTTTGTGTTTTCTTTTCCTGGGTCACCATCTGTATAATGGGTCTCCTGCTTCTGTTGCCCATTTACCGCATGGGATGTGAGGGGAAAGGAGGACTGAACTGCGAGTCTCTCATCTAGAAAGTAATTAGTTCAGTCCTCATGTGAGAGCCCACTTAGAGTTTTCCTCTTAATCCCCCCCCAACTCTCTACCAATTTTTTTTTCTACCAATTTTCATACTAGAAAACTAAGGCCCTGGGGTAGATGATTTACCTAGGGTCACATCAAGGATCAAATAATTAGAATCCACATTTCTTCACTCCTGGATCAGGGCTCTCTCTATTTCACCTACAAAGAGATATTGTAAATGTAGAAACTCCTCCTTATCTCCTGTCATCCAGCCACTTTCTCAGTTCCAAATGAAAAAAATCAATGCTAGAAATGGAAACCACTTTCAGATTTTCTTCTTCACCTCTTGCAGTGGAAACCAACAACCTTTGAAATCCATCTCACTTTACATTTCTCAAAGCATTATTTTCAACTATGAACTAATATGTGGGTGCTCAAAATACCTTCTAAGGGGGAAAAATCTACCTTACTGATGAGGAAAATGAAGCCCAGAATGGAGAATAAATTTCACCAAAATAGATGTCTAGATATATTGGTGAAATAGAGGCAGAAACCCAGGTCTCTTGATTCCTAGGATTACAAATAGTACCTCTAAAGGGTGAGGGGTCTCAGGAATAATCAGAGAGGGTAGGAAATAAGGAAAGCTTCTTAAAGCGGTGTTTCTGAGAATCAATAGAGTAATAAGAACCCCAGCTTCTTCTGAGGGTAGGAGACCTGGGTGGGAAAGGGGGAGATAAGGATGGCTGTTCTTGGAAATATGGGATAGGGGGAAATATGGAGAGAGAAAAAGAAATAATGTGACCAGGATGCCCATCAATTTTCTCTCATGTTTGTAGTTTCTATAACACCTTCCCATCTATTGTCTCCTCCAGTTCTCATGTGAGGTAAGCAGGGCAGAGATAATTGTCCCCATCTTATAGATGTGGTTCAGAGGAAATAAATGCAAGGTCACAGTTAAACATACAGCCAAGATTGGAATCATGAAAGAAACCCTTGAAAGGCAAAATCACAGCCAAGACTGGGACTTGGACTGTGTGTACGCAAAATGTGAGGGTGTAAGCGGCCACACCCTGAGTTGGTACACAGGGAAGAGGGCTGCAAAGCCATTGCTGGTGTGTTTGGGGGCCAAGAATGTTTGCCCTTTGGATTAAATGAGGTTCAAGTGGAGGGAGTGTCTGGGCTTCTGAAGGAGGCTCACAATGCCTCCTCTTCTAACTCACCCCACCTAATTGAGGCAGCTTCTTTTCTTTCCCAGACTAAGTGGAATCTGTTTTGGCCTGCCCTTGAAGTTGCTTTCCTTTTTCTTTTTTTTTTTCAAGCATTGTAAACCATTTTTATGAATGTATGTTATGCACTTGCACTCCAGTAGGGATGCCCTTAGAGAAAATGTTTTGATTCATTCATTCCTGAGTGCCTGTTAAGGGAAATCCTGTTTTTCCTAGGGCCTGATTGCCTTCAGGCCTGGGGAATAAAGAAATGCATGAGGCACAGGTCCCTGCCCTTATACCTTACAAGACACACACACACAATTTCAGTGCAGCATAGTGTTCTAATAGGGCTTTGGATAAAACCTTTTGGGAATAGATAAGATGGAGAGACTCATTGGCTAGGGAGTAGAGAAGGATGTGTCTCAGGAGAGAATCTAAAGAGTTGACACTGGAGCTAGGACCTGTAGGATGAGTACAAGTTTTCTGAACAGATAAAAAGGCAAATGGAATTCCTGCCTAAGAAAACAGCATGAACAAAGGCAAGAGACATACAGGTGCAAGGAATGTTTGGAGAATGGCCAAGAATAGCTCAATATCATGGCCACAGAACACTAGGAAAACTATAGAGTGATGGGGTTAGTGTCAGGGTCACATCCAAAGGAGTTAATGATAATCAGAAGAGTTTAGATCCTTCCCTACAGGTAAAAGAGAACTTATAGTAGAAAGATCTGTGGAAGGAAAGTCAAGATACCTGGTTTCTGGTTCCAGCTCTCCCTGTGCTGAGCTGTGAGACCCTATGCTTGTGATTTCCTTAACCAGGGGTTGCACTGACAATGTGATTGCTAGCAACCCTTCCAGCTCTGATTCGATTCTTGTCTCCTCCCAATTCAGTATTATTACTCTGTCAGCTCCTCCCCCACTCCACTGCTTTCTAGGCCACAGCAGTGACAAGACCTCTGGGGGGTACAGTGTCAACATTATACATCCTTGTTGCTTTTGGATCCCCTGCCTGTTTTGTAAGACATTTTCTACCTGTCTTTTTTAAAATAATTTTTTATTTTATGAAGAAAACCCAAAATTTCATAACAAAATAATAAGACAATAACAATAGTAAATACACTGTGTATCATTTTCAAAGTAGTTACTCAGTACAAGACATAGACAAAAAAGATTCTCTTTTAAAGAAACAGATAATAGCACAAAACTTTCTTTTCAATAAACTAAGAGAAACTAGTAGTACAAATGAGACAAATTAGTATATATATTAAAATATTTTTAAAACAATGGAATGGGTAATTTAGGGAATTATTTGAACTTCTCCCTCTACATGCCTTTGTCTACTTCAACTCCAGGCCCTTAAGATATTCAGAAAGAGTAGCTAAAAAAACAATGGGGAAGTACAAGAATCAATGGTGGGATTTCACTTTTCTCCAGAGAAACCTGAAAGATAATCTTACCAAGATATTCAATTTATCTTTTCGATCATAGCTTTATGCCCCAGCCCCCAAGTTAGAAGCTGGGCAAGTTCAAGTCAAGTACATTTAGTGAGAGCTGTCAATGTAAGGGAAACAGCAGGAACAGAGTATGGAAGAGAGTAAACCTGAGGATCAGGAGTAGGGCTGGAGTGGAGAAGCTGTAGAGAATGAGACAGAGGGGGAGGCTAACTCTCTTCCAAAATGAGGGAGAAGGAGGCTATCTTCTAAAACTCCCCTTACTGGATTCTCAACTAAGATTGGCAAAAATGTATACTGCAGGAAAGGGCAGTTAAAATGAAGTTAAAGAAGAAGATGCCCATGGCTTGAGGACGTTGTGTTTAGTGTGCTATGCAGCTCAGATGTGAGGCAACACTACCATTGGTAGTGGAAAGAGCTGCTAAACAGGACCCCTGAAAATCTGGGTTTTCATCCACACTCTGCCACTTACTGGCCATGTTATTTTGCACATCAGTTTTCCCAGTACAGGATGGACGTGTGGGCCTAGTATCCAGATTGTAAATAATCTTTAAAGTCCTTTGCTCAGTAACTCTTTGCCTTTCTTCCAAACTGATCTATCTCCTGTTTTAAATCAAGGGCTCTCCAGGGCAGGAGTCTGTCCCCTCTATGTAGGGAGACTGACTCAATCAATGACTCAAGGAGCTCAAGAAAGAGGAGCAAAATGGTGGCACATTCCTGTAATCCCAGCTATGTGGGAGGCTGAGGTAGAAGGATTGCAAGTTCAAGGACAGTCTGGGTGATTCAAGGGCTGGGGATATAGCTCAGTGGTAGAACACTTGCCTAGCATGTGTGAGGCCTTGGGCTCAGCCCCCAGTACTAACAACAACAAAGCAAAATGCCCAGTGTGGCTGACTGCTATTTTTTTTTTTGTATGGGGGAACGAACTTGGGACCTTGCGCTTGAAAGGCAGGCAGCAGAACCACTGAGCTAAATCCCGGGTCCTGCTGACTGCTAATTTGGGAGCCAGAGGCAGGTCATAGAGAACCAACTTGACCCTTCATCAGCTCTCTGCCTCTCCTGACCAAACCAGGATGCCCTTGAACCCAGGCCTGTATCCTCACCCAAACCCAGAATCTAAGGATGTGTGCAGCCTCTTTGCTCCTTCTTTCAGAACCACAAACTTCCAGTCTACCTCCCTTGGCAGGAGGGCCTGATGGAGGAAAGGTTTTGTTAATTTTTACTTCCTTTAGTGTCCCTACCTCCACTTTCCATAGTCTGTCTCTTCCCCAAACTAGATCATCCTGGCAGGTGAGCTGCAAAGAGAAAAATGAATAAATAAGTCAGTTTTTTTAGGCTGGAATATTAGGTATAAATCAGTCCCAGGGCTCAGGAATACCTAAACTGTGAGGAAAACATCTGTAGCCATCTCGTGGGATTTGAGGGACTCTAGAAAGCTGTCAAAGTGCCTCTCCCATCTGCCTATCTAATCCCCAAGATCTTAGCATAGTTTTAGTATTTGTACTGTCACCGGATGTTACAGCTGCCCAGAGCCCCTTCATTTCATAGAAGCTGAGCCCAGGAAAGGGAAGTCACATCCCCAAAGTCACACAAATAGCAGCTGAATCAAGACAGCTTCCTGGGTTTCCATTTCCCTCATTGCAAAATGAGGGCACTAAG